TTCCGCCAAAGAGAAAAAATTGGGAATCGTTCTCTTATTCGTAATCATCCTCCAGTGAAATGTAGAATTGGCTTTCGCATCCTCCAATCGCACTGTACGTGAATTATGCTGGTGTTGACAGACTGATTTCGTAATAGTGACTCTTGAGCATGAAATGTCCTTCAAGACGGTAGTCCATGAATTAAATAACGGGAGCAAACGGGGCCGCTGTAGTAGTAGGTCGCAGCGATATAAGCGGTATACCATTAGATAATAGATGTTGATCAAACGAATCTATTCGTTAGTAGATCTAGTGCCTAATAATCGACGTCGAGTATTTATCAATCAACGTTGTGTTACTGGTTTATGGTCAAAATTTTATCGACAGTAATAGTAATTATAATAGCACGTTACTTGTAATTGATCATCTCTAGGTATGATGCTGCACCCCAGCGTTAGCTTACGAGGGCAAGAATTTCTAGAAACCCGTGGAGAGAAGCGGTTGTCGAATATGAAGAAGAAGACAACGCGCTATGCATCATCAGGTGACGCTAGAAAGGATGGTTTCCCCATTAGGAACAAGCAGAGGATATAAATTGATAGCTTGCACCACCTTCATCGTCATAATCTTTTCTTCTATTCACTGAACAATTAAAATTTTATATATTAGCCAAATCTTCTTCCACATCCTTTCCCAACGTTGTTCTTTCTTTTCCACCTCACTCTCTTAATTTAACTTCTTAAAATTTTCAATTGATACGTAACCATTATTTCCACACATGTGCTAAGCAAGCGGGTGCGCGCCAGCAATGTACGTGTCTTGTTTTATTCGAATTACTGAAACCAACATTTTTACATTCCTAATGCATAATTGCCTCATCCATCTACACTATCATAGTACGCGCCAGAAAATTGCCTCTGAGATAACAAATAGGCTGGATGGAGTCTTAGTCCTTCACACGCTTAGGAGATTCACCATCATTTCCTTGCCAAAATGAGTGCATTGCAGTTGTGATTTATTCCAATACTGTAAAGATTCACTTCCGCGACGTTTATGGAACTGGGAGCCACACATCTTTCGTGCCACTGAACTTGGGAGTTTGCTCAACTTGTACGGTAATGCGCATAGACAGAATGAAAGTTGTTAAACTAAAAATGAACAGTACATATATTCTATAAATTCGACCAACTTTGCCATTCACTCTTGCTCTTCTAATCACCAAACAAATACTACACAACTCCACATCCAGGCCGACACCAATTTGAGAAGCTCTTCGTCTATGTGCGACAACATTACATGTGCACTTTGATAGTATTGGGGCTTTTGGGTTAAAAACAGCGAGGGAAGGTTGATAGACGAAAAAGCGGCATATCAGAAAGCATGCGAATTCCTTCAGGAGAATATTGCAATTGGATGGCATTAACTTTTGTCCTGCCAATGGAGTTGCGGTGGCTATGGCCGAAACGGGTGGCTAAGGATGCGCGTTTATTAAAGTAAGGTAGAAAATTTACATGGCCACTGAAGTGTTGATGTTATATTGATTACTAATTTTGTATTCCTGTTCAGTCACTAGAGCGTATTGCTTCATATAGTCCAGAGATCAAATTAATGTGGAGGATATTGGAAGCCAAGTCTGAACAAGATTGTAGTAATCACAAGTATTATATATGAATACAGTGTCTTGAAAAGAAAACTTTAATGATAATAACACTAGTTGATATCACTGAGATTATAGTTGGTATTTATTAACAAGTTGATGTTAAATATTAGTTATTATTATAAATTATTATTTATCGTTATTATATTCTTATTCCGTCATACATCAACATGCAGTATACGATCAAAGTTATGTCGAAAGTTGTGCCCATATGATATGGCCTCGGCATATCCTAGACGCAATTTCCAACTTTAAGGTGAGATGTTACAAGTGTTTCTTATACAGTACTTCTATTGTATGATGTTTTGCTCACGTGTTATTATATTATATTTATGATCACCGAACCATTGACTATCTCAAATAAAATAGTACCCTGAGATATTATCCTGAAATGGTTCACCTACATCAGCATATGGAATAGATGTTTTTGTTTAAGAAGGGTGTCGTATAATTTACAATTGTTTGAGTGTTTGGCAGAATATTGACACCGCCAAGAGAATTGGCGACGCGATGGATGATTCCTAATAGACATAACAAGTATGATTTGATGAAGATGTTACTATGAGGTAGTGGGTTCTGGACCGGGGACATAAGAGAGCGGAATTTGAGAAGAGATATGACTTACGCGTGTATTATTTAATTTCAACCAATTTGTGGCGAATAGCATTCTGGTCATATCTTGTATATTATATTTGCCAGATGAACGCTGCCCATTTCGGTGGACCTGTAAACTCTCTGGACACGTGGAGGTAAAAATCTCGGTAGATTTTTGTGCATCTATCGTCATACTAATTATGTACAATCGTTTTGTAGGGGAAGAAACTTGTAATCTTGAGATCGGTCAGGATATGGTTCTTGATATTATTTTTATACAGGAATAGTCGAGATGTTCAAACTTATTCGCGCCAAGGTTAGCATTTGCAAATATTCGATTTCAATCAATTCACGATTAAATCAACCATTGTTGTAACAGCGTTCTTACATTCTGTATCGTGGTTCAAGAAAATGCAACGAATGCAGATTTCATTCGCGGTTTCCAATTATGCGTCGTCAACGTTCACACTATTGAGTACGCCCTCATCTTCGATGCGCCATTTTCAGTGGGAACGAAAACTTGTATGTTTTGGGGAAGCTTTGTCAACCTTTCTATTGCAATCCAGGTAATTGCGGCGTCGTTAACGCCAAGGTTAGATTCTGTACTGATAATTTGCCTGATTGGCGGTTCAATAATTATAACAGTTCATCTCATTGATAGAAGTCGACAAACTCTATTCTAAAAACATTGGGGATTCTGGTCGGTCCACAATTCTGCAGATGTCAAATTTTCAATGGACACCTTTGTATAATCCGATCGTTCAATTACAGTAAGTTCAGCATCTTTACCCACTATTAGCAAGTTACAGTAGCAGATAATTATTGGTACTGTTATTAACAATAACAAAGACGCGTACAAAGTGAACATGCGTATGAATGGCTTGCAAAGTCTGTCAGCTACTAGAATTGGTTAAGAAAAATTGACCGCACAAACCTATTGTAAGTTCGCAAGGAAACTGGGATCAGCCTCCATTTCCGTCTTTAGCCCCATTCCCAATCATCCCCAAGTAGCAGATTTCCGTTTCCGTCTCAACCTTTGATCCCGCCATCGTCGGCTTCATGATTATGATTATTTCGTGGTTCTTCTTGTCGTTATTCTCGATATTTTCTTTCCCGAATCCATGCATTTGGGCTGAATATTTTTCTGGCTGTTCCCTCTTGTCTTTCTTCTCAACTCCGATGCGATGGTATCACAAACATTTCAGAAGTTAACACACCACACTAAGAAACGATGAATCTAGATAAACTGGCACCTGCAACGCTCAATGTCAGCAGAATTCCTTGAACGGATGTCAGTCAGCTACCCCTGCTTATGGATTTTCAAGGAGTGGAAAGAGGATTGGTTATGAATATTTAAGAGAATTTTGCCTGCCGCTGAGCCTTTGTTATTATGTCTGTCAAGATGAGACTTTGATAAATCGTCTCCTGCAGAATTTTTATTATCTATACGAATTGCATTAACTCACTCTTCTGAACACTATGTCCCCTGGTCATGTGACCACAAGCAAGTGTTTAGCATTGTGTAATAGAATGTCTCGTCGTAATTGTTTGTTGCTGGGGGTTGAGATTGGTGCGAGTTAAAAATCCGAAACAATCAGAGTTTAGGTTTGCACATTCAAGTATCACATTAAAGTAATAATGAGAGTTCGACATATTAGACAATCAGACACGCGCAATTGCATCACACTCAAACAATGCAGATGGACGTTCTGTCCGGATTGTTTGGGCAGCGAGGATTCTTGTGTAAAAAGCCTGTAGTTTACATTTATGATTCGAGTATCCTTATGGAACGTTAGTCTTCCCAAAATCCTTTTTCGGGAAAGCAACGTACGATTAATTACAAATCTCAGATGATTTAAGATTAGCAATTGTTTAATAATAAGGCAGATCCAAACCTTTTTTTGAGTTTTGCATCTTATTAGGCACGCCTTGCGAAGAACTTTAACAGGCATCGCGAGGTATTTGTGAAATCTATTTAATCTCTTCAATTTCCTTGTCAGCGTGATCTTTAAATTTCACACATTAAAATGTATACATCTTCAACTACCTTTACAATGACTATGCTTGTCAAGTCAAAACTTTTTGTGAGGAGTTTACCTTATTTTTATACAGCGGGATGGTTTTATCGAAAAGCCAAATCACCCGCGGCGGCATAACGCGCGCCACATTCACACAAAAAACTATCTTTCTCAGTCGAGAAGAAAAAGCCTTTTAACAAAATGGCTTTGTTTTAAAACAAAATTTTATTATTTTTAAAAAACAAATCTATTCACTTTTAAACATGGATGAATTCACTATTATTGAATTCACCATTAAAATTTTAGAGCCGCGCGGGCTCTTGTTATTACAAGCTCCCCTTTAGCACGTATCGGGCTCGAACGAACGAAAAGGTTTTGGCTGCACCGCAACTGTCTGGCAACCACACGAAGACGTTCTCCAGGAAGAAGAGGCTAAAGGAGAGTACTGAAATACGGGAAATTATGGTGGAGATAAAGCGGGCTGTTGAATGTCAGCACAATTGCTCATCATGTATACAATATAATTTTGTTTATAAATAAAAATAAAAATTAGAATTATATTCCTTAATGTTAAATGCTACAATTATTGAATCAATTCAAAAAATGTTGCGAATATATGATTTAACTAAATGTCTACGAGTTATAATAACTGCTGGGGTTTTTCAGAGAGCATTCTGCTTATCGATAGACTTTACGAGCACGCTCGTTGACGTTGCATTGTAAGTTCGTGTAATATAACATCTCTATAATATGTTCCATAACAAAAAACTGGTTTTATTAAAACAGAGCATAGATAGCTAAAAAAAATATGTGTTGGTCATTAATTAAGACGTAACTCGATTTTTTTATCCTCCAACGTTTTCCTCGACTTCTGGGAGAGGCGCGCTGTACCTTGTCTGTTGACCGTGCTTGGTACGAATAAATATAGAGCGCATTTTATTGTTTAACTCACCGTTTCTTTAGTCAGAAAACAGTAAACGATACAATACCTTTTAGGGTCTTTCTCGCGTCTTGTAATATTTTTAGGTTGTGGTATTTCGGGGAAAGCAATGTCTATAACAATAATAGTGACAAAATAATGATAATAGTAAATAACCAAGTCACTCCTGTCTTGTGCAATCTCTCATCTGAAACCTTCGACAGTATAATTAACATCAATAAATATGTAAAGCTTAAACCATCTTTGTTTTTCTGCCTTGTGGACTTCTTCTGAAGAAGCTTCGATTGTTTTTATACGTAGATACAATTACAACTGCCAATTACGACTTGTGGTTTTGTTTACGAATTTCTTAGGAGTATTTAGTATGCTTTTTTAACAATTGCGC